ATTTCTAATTTCACTCTATTGTGATTATAGAACATACTTAGTATGATTTCAATCCCATAAAACTTATTGAGTCTTTATGACCTAGCATATGTTCTATCCTGGAGAATGTTCCATATGTACTTGAAAAGAACATGTATTTTACTGTTAGAATGTCCTAATACATAATGGTTAAGATTAGTTGGTTTATAGGATTTTTCAAGTCTTTTATTTCTCTGGTTATCTTCTGCCTAGTTGTTCTACCCATTATTGAAAATGAGTTGTTGATATCTCCAACTTTTACTGTTGGATTTATTTCTCCCTTCAGTTCTACCAGTTTTTGCTTCATGTATTTTGGGGGTCTGTTATTAGATGAATATATTTATAATTATACTTTCTAGTTGAACTGACCCTTTTTTATTATAAAATGGCTCTATTTATCTCTACCAACATTTTTTTTTTTTGTCTTTTTTCCCCCTAATGTTATTATAGCTACCCCAGCTTTCTTATGGTTGCTGTTTGCATGATGTATTCTTTTTCATCCTTTTATATTCAATCTATTTGTGTTTTTGAATCTCAAATATGTGTCTCCTGTAGACTAGATACAGTTGGGTTTTTTAATCCAGTTTGACAATCTGACTTTTGATCGGATTGTTTAATCCATTCACATTTAATGGTGTTATTGATATAGTTGGAGTCACATCTCCCAGTTTATTTCTCACATTTCTTTGTTTCTATTTCTCCTTACTGCTTTTTTTTGCATTAAGTGAATATTTTCTATTGCAACTTTAATTTCTTTAATTATATTCTCACTTAGATTTTTTTTTCTTAATGGTTGCTGTTGGGCTCACAGTACACATTTCAACATAATTTACTTCGGATTTATGCTATCTTAATTCCAGTGTGATACAGAAATGTTATTCCTATACAGCTCTATTCTTTCTATCCTTTTTTTGGCTATTATTATTTTGTGTATTATCTCTGTGTATGTTAGAAACCCAATACTTTATCTTATTTTGTCATTTATAGAAGGTAAGAGAAGGCCAACAAGTATATACTAGATTTATAGTTTGTTATATTAACTTTCTTGTTTAAAATTTTTAGTTTTCTCCATTTGTTACTATAGATTCAAGTTACTATCAGCTATAATTTCCTTATTCTAACACCTTTACTCTTATCTGCTCCTTTGTGCTGTTTTTGTCAAATATGTTACATTTTAATGTTGTATAGGCTGATAAATTAAATTATGCATTTATTGTTTCATACAATTGCTTTTAAAACCTGTTAGTATAACAAATGAGAAATATGCATTTATACTGTTTTTTTTTTATGGTTACATACTACCTTTACCACTGCTCTTTGCTTTTTTAATGTGGATTTGAATTACTACCAGGGGTTTCTTGCTTTCAACTTGGAGATTTTTAGTATTTTTTTGTACGATGAATCTACCAATAAGAATTCTCTCAATTTCTGTCTTCTGTGAGTATTTATTTTGGTCTCATTTTTGAATGCTAGTTTTGCTGGACTTAAAATCTTTCACAGTTTTTTTCTTTCAGCAGTTACTAGATCATTCCCCTGCCTTCTAGCCTCAATTGTTTCTGATTAGAATCAGTTGTCAATCTTATTAGTGTTCTCTCATTAAAGATAAAGCATTTCTCTTGCTGCTTTCAAAATGTTTTCCTTGCTTTTTGCTCTTAGCATTTTTACTATGATGTGTCTAGATATGATTTTCTTGTGTGTTTACTTGGAATTTATTGAACCCTTTGAGTGTGAGGATTCATGTTATCCTTAACTTTGGGATATATCGTGATAATTTCTTTGAATAGTTTTTTATACTCCTTTCTCTTGCCTCTTTTTTTGGTACTTCTATTGTAAAAATGATTGCTGTTACCTCCAGCACTCCTTCTGGTTGGTATGCCTAATGGTGCCCTATATTTCTCTGTGACTGTTCATTTTTCTTCATTCTTTTTTTTTTCTTCATTGTATTGCATACCCTCTATTGATCTAATTTTAAATCCATAGATTCTTTATTGTCCATTGCTGAGTCCTGTAGAGAATTGTTCATTTTAATTATTATACTTTTCAACTCTAAAATTTCTATTTAGTTTTTTAAAATGTCTGTCTTAATATTGATGATATTGTCATTATACTTTACCTGTTTAATCATGATTTCCTTTAATTCTTTGATCGTATTTATAATAGCTGATTTGAAGTCTTTATCTCAGTGTGACATCTAAGATCACAGAAAGTTCTGTTGACTGCTTTCTTTGTATATATAGTTCACATATTTCTGTTTCATTGAGTCTCAATTTTTTTGTAAATTGGATATTTTAGATATTGCATTTTATAAGATTCAGATACTGATTCTCTCCTTTCTACCTCCCCAGGACTTGCTGTTGTTTGCAACTTTACAAGTCTATTTTATTGAAGTCTTTTTCTTCTGTTGGGTGAAGCCTCTGATGTTACTTCTCAGAGGGCATGTGTTAGTCACCCTGGGGTGACAGTGGTTTTAGCAGGGTTCTCTTTGACTATCTCTTTAAAATCTCTGTTATATTGTCTGCCCCTGTTGATATCACATCCAACTGATGAGCTCCATTTTATGCTGGCTAATTGCTCTTTTGGAGAGGATGGAGGGCACAACTCCTGGGGCATAAATTGTACTACAGTCCAATCCAGATAAGTTCTGGTCCCTCTACAGAGTTGGTTTTTGAGGCCAGTATTTGAAGGTTGCTCTGCTTTTAGGGGGGCTCTTGTTAACTGTCTTCTTTCCCTCGTTGTCTCTGGTAACCTAGCTGGCCTACAGTTTAGCTATTTGTATCCAGCTTCTTCTTCTTACCATGATAACATCCATTTCTTTTGAGAATGCACTTGGGCTTAAACTTACTCACACTCTTCCAAATAAAATGAGTTCCTTTGGGGAGAGTTTCGCAGCTCTCTGTCCTTAGAGCCTGTATCTTGCCTTGTGAAAAATCACTGCACCATGACTTTGGAGCTGTGGGTGGGCTTGATGTCTTGTTTTCATCAGAGTTCCATGAACTGTTTCATGAACAGGGTGCTGCGTGGAGCATTCCAAGACTCTCATCTTCTCGTTTTGCCTCCCCCGGTGTAGAACCACTGCGCTAGGTATGATCTGGGGTGAGGATGATCCAGGCCCAACCAGTCTCTGCTTACCATTCCTTGGGGCAGATCGTCATGCTATAGGTGGTGGAGGGGAGTCTCCAACCTGTAATTTAGCCTCTGTAGAACTGAGTGGGATGGGAAATGCTAGCATTCTGCTTCTCCCAGTGGGAGCTGGGAGGAGAGGGGACACTCCCCGCCATTTGGCCATACCTGTTTGAAAGGAATGTCAGTCACACTAAACTGGGCAGTGGAATGAGGAAAGGAACAGATCCTGACTTGAGTACCATGGACTCTCTCTGTTTTTACTAAGATACAGCAGATTTTCTAGAATAAATGTTTTCTAACTTGCTGAATGCCCTTAGGACAATTTTCAAAGGCTTTAAAATTTTTTTTAAATACTTTTTACTAGTTATAGTGTTTTCCTGGGAGAAAATATGTGGAACTCCTCACGCTGACATTTTGTATTTCTTACCTTCTCTTATAAATTTTTACTTCGTGGCCTGACATAAAATTGCATATAAGTAGTTGCGATGTAAATGTAATTTTTTTCTTAAAAAAGCAGTGTGAGTGTTTCTTTCCTGTCTTCTAACCCCTTCTGATATGTTTTGGGCTTGACCAGTTGGGCTTGGTCCTTACTTACTTTTCACTTACTTGGACATTACTCCCTCTGTGTCACCCCTGGCTTTCGCCTCATTTTTGCTTTTATGCTGGGGCTCCAAATTTTTACTTGAGTCACTGGAAATGGTGACACAGTTTGTAAACTGTCTACTTGGCTCATACATTGGCTTTGATTGTTAGCCAATCTCTCAGCTTTTGTAAACTAGTTCATGGACTATCTATCTTGCTCAGATGTTGGTCTCAAGACCAAATTTGTATTTGTGTATTAGCTTCATGTGTTGTAATCCCTATGTTGCAATTATATGAAAGAAAGGACATTTTGGTGTCAATAAAAGGAGATTTAGTTAACTGCCTATTATAGAAACTATATTTTAAGACTTCTTCACCAAAGCAACTGTCTGGTAATGACCTTTTTTATTATATTACAGTGAGACTGTATTACAGTGAGACTGTATTAAAGATAAAGGAGAAGATTGTCTGATATGAAGGTGTATCATTTTATAAAGTTTAGGTGCATCTATTCATGAGACAGAACTTTCATCAGAGCAGCTGATGTTAATGGATATTTTGCGTGCAAGAGCATCACATAGAGGGTATGTTTGAGGGAAACTGTTTTTAACAGGATTTAGAGCAAGATCTAAGTTCATTTTTATTTGGGTTGTTGCTGAGTTTTATTTTAGGGATCTTAGGGAATATATCTATTTCCTTAATGATCTAATGTGTAAATTAAATCTTTTGAAGGCACGCTAATTAGTAATTCATGTATAATCCATTTCAGTTCTTTCATAGTAGTCTTTTTCTTTCTCTCTTTGATCTTCAGGGAATACTCAATTGTATCTTTGCATCCTTTTTGTAGTTTTCGACTACAGTGGCCTGTGATGAAAAGGATTTTGAACCTATAATGAAGAAAAAACTTCTACCTCTTAGAATATGGAATTGTAAAATTATGAGATTGACTTTTTTTAAATTTAATTTTATTATTAGTTTCAATTATGCAGTACATTGGTTAGATGTTTATATCATTTATGAAACGATCCTCCTGATTATTCTTTCTCTCTTCTTGCTTATACCGAGCCATTACATTACTGCTAACTATATTGACATGAAATGTTTTGATTCGTGAACCAAATTTACACTCGTTCAGATGTTTTCTTGAGGTAGCTTGCTGGAGACATGAATAAGATCTGCTTTCCAAAATGAGATACAGAGTTCAGAATTTTACTTTAAAATATTCTCTAGGTGAAATAAATGTGTTATTTGTCTTTTTTTGTTTGTTTGTTATTTAGGCAGCAGGGGCAGTTCGACCTCTTGTATCTACTGTCATCAGTCCATCTGCTGATGGTTGCTTAGACCACTCGTTGGAACGTGCCAGGCATAGAGCAAGTGAAATGCCACAGGCTTTTCTATTTGATGTGATCTATGAAGCATATCAGCAGGTAAGAATTCTGGGCTTTTGAAAAAGCTGCTGTGTGGAGGTATCCCCAGAATAACCCCTGTATTTGGAGAGTTGCTAGAAGAACTCAGAACGTACTTGTACTTGTGGTTAAAATCGATTACAGTGAAGTAATCAATTATAGCTGGATCATATGAGACAGACACAAACAGAGTCTGGAGGAATCCTTCCTCCGCTCTCTTCCTCACCCAAAGATGACCCACTGCAAAGATGCCTTCCCACCAGCAACACAAATGCAGCAGCACGTGTGTGATGTTTCTCCCCACGGAAGCCTGTTAGAGACTTGATATCTAGGGTGTTTATTGAAGTTCGTCACATAGACATCTTCTACCTAGCACATAAAATTTCATCTTCCTAGAAGGAAAGCAGGTATTTAACATAAACCAAATTGTTTATGCAAACAGTCTGGACATCGTGAACCACCCTTATCAGTGAACTGTTCACTGAGAGTACTCCAAGAGCCAGTTTCCCCAGATGCTGGCTGAGGGTCCACCCAGTTAACAGATGGTGTCAAGGGTGTAACTTGCCTCTGTGAAATTCATGGAGAAAACTCATAATACTGTTTACCATCTCCTGAGAGTTAAACAGGAATTGGGCAATTGTCACTAAAGTCAGTGTGTCAAAGAAGCATCTTAATCTGATCCAAAGTCGTGTGGACTGTGGCCAAAAAGGTAGGAGGTCTGCAGTTTGAGATCATGGATGACTTTTCTTCCTCAGGTGATGCTGGGAGGTTATGGATGTTAAGATGCCCTGCTGTATGTTGACCTGCTGGATTGTTGTTACCTCCGCTACTGTTTCTTCTGTCTCACCTCACTCATCCTCCTGTTCTATATGCTCTAGCTAGGGTCACCTTATTTATTTCCTCAAATACAAGTTTCTTCCTTTCTGGAACTTTACTTCCTTCCTATCTTGCTACAGGTCCTTTAGATGTTAGGTAAATTATCACTTGCTCAGAAAAGCCTGTCTCCCAATTCCTCCCCGCCCTCCCCGACTAGGTTAGGCAAACTCACTACAAGATTTCCTAGTGCCTTCTTTTTTTCTACCTAGCATCAGAATTATCATTATTTGGGAAGTAATTTATGAAATATCTGACTCGCCTGCTAGACTCGACCCTGTGAGGAAGGGACGGTATCTGTCTCATTCTTAGCAACTTACTTGACATATTAATACCAAGTACATATTTGTTCAGTGGGATGAACTTATAAGAGTGTGCATGTATACAAATATATGAAAAGAAGGCCTATGTACTAGTTCTTCCATCTACTTAGGCCACTTTTGCCAGATACTCACACTGTTTGTTTCTACTCTTGACGCGGGTCCCTGTGCAAATGTCACTTCCTCAGAGAAACCTGCCTGGATAATCTTACACAAAATAGCATCCTCTATCATGTATTCCTTTATTCTGCTTTAGTTTTCCTTATTAGATATCACTACTTGACATTTACATATTTTTGGTAAGTATTTGTCTCTCCCTGCAAATAGTATGTCAGTTCCATGAGATCAGGGACTTTTTCTTATCTCTAGCTCCTGGAAGAGTTCATAGCTTACATTTGCGTGGGGGTAATATATATGTACATATGTATGTATTTACAATTTCTTCCTAAAACCTTTAAGACAATCATCTGAAAAATTATTTGAAGGATGGGCAAAGATTTATATAAAGTTGGTGATGGCAGCATTTTTCTAAATGTGAAATTCTATGAAGCCTATAGTTCTAGAGATCAATTAGTGACATTTAATAGTAGAAATTTTAGAGGGTCATTTAAAGTTGAGTTTTTGTAGAATTTTTTGGCATGAAAATGCTCATGATAGGATGTTATATTAATGATACAACAATGACACAAAAATATATTAATAACTATAAATATGTTGATTATCCTTATAGATCTAAATGTATGAGTGTGTGAGTACACAAGCAAAGTAGAAAATTAGTTGTACGTCTGGCTCCTGAAATGTTACTAATGTCTATGTCTGGGTTAATATTAATTTAAAATCATTAAAAATCTGTGGGTGTGATAGATACTTAAGATGCATATATACGGAAGCATTGTTTTTAATTGGTTTTGGGTTTTTCTCTCTAATTAGGTATTTCATAATTGGTTTTTCTTTCGTTGCTTAAGGTCATCTAAAATTTTTATTTTATTCCTTGTGAATTTTTAATGACTCATTATGAGGTTACTAAAGGAAAAGATTGCTAAATTAAGGAATAAAAAATTCAATAGTGAAAATTACACGGTCTCTAAGAACTAAGGGACAACCCCAAAGATTGGTCCAAAAGATTCTTATTTTTAAGACAGAATAAATAAGTTTTAGGAAAAATAAGACATTTTTGTACAAAGAAGCTTTTCAAATTATATAAATCCATTTCTTAAGTAAATTGGTTTGGTGGTCACAGATGGTATTCTCAACTTTATTGTTTAGAGACCTGGCTTCATGTCTAACACTCAAGTTTTTAGATTCTCAGAATTTTAGAAGGTAATTTATTAATAAGTTTTCGTGAAAATACACGTGCATTAAAGACACAGCAGGACTCAACCAGTGGAAGAATTCTCTGGGGTGTTAATTATGTACCTTTTGGTTTGATATCCTAGACTTTACTGTGGAGATATTTAATATTTATATGTTACAGCTTCTCAATCTGCACTATGAGTATTTTTTAAGTGCCTGTTTAACTTGAAAGCATAAAAACATTCTTAAAAAACACAATCAAAACAAACCGTTCGATTTTTAAAGATGCCTGCCACAAGTCTCCAGGTACAATATCATAATCATAATATGTAAAGGATATAACAGGAATTTTCTTTTGTAATATATATCCTGCTCCTATCCTATATGCATTAGAAGAAATAAAATTTATATCTTGTACTGAGTACTAACATATTGGGCTTTAAATGCTGGGTTGACAAACCAGTCAAAACTGAATTTTATCAAGTGTCTTTATATCCACAGGTGTTAACAATTTCAGAAGTTATATTGCAATTTTCACAGCGTTTAGTTCCCCGTTCTATCTCCCTCCTCACCCCCGGCGTGGTGAAGAAAGGGGACTTCGATGAGTGTGTAGCTGGGCCCAGATCAGATGTGAAGACCAGATTATCAGAATAGTCTCAAGAAATCACACACTCTACATGGGGTATTGAAAAAGAGAAGTAGGAAGGGGTAGGAGGAAGGTACAAATCATTTTTTAACAAATGGAGAATCGAGAAAGGGACAAGAATGAAAATGTCATCAGCGGTGGGGGGTATAGTGAGTTAAAGATGGAAGAAAATGTGAAGAAAAATTAGTGCAAAAGAGAAATGAGAGATTTAAAGATAAAACTTTCTGAGTCGTAAAGAGCTGTCATTTTAGATTAGTGAAATTATCTGCAAACCGTGGCAGCAACTTGCACGTCATTAATAAAACCATGATCTGTATATTATTTATGGTACTCTATAAGATAAAATAAATTCAGAACTTGGTGGTGTATTTGAAGAGCAATTAAACTCTTTCTAAAGCCATGATTTTTTTTACTCATCATATTTCTTATGTTTTTTATCCTATTCTCTTTTTCTGCCTCCTACTTTTGCTTATTTATATATTTTTTATCAATTATTCTGAACTGGCTTATATAGCCAGATCACTTTTATTGTCCCAATTTTGGACAAATTCAAAAGCATTATAGGGGGACAAGAAAACCAAAACACTTTGTGACACTGGCTGGGACCTCCTTTGAGAACATTATTTTTACTTCCAGAAATTTCTTAATAGCCTAAAACTAAATTATTTTGTCTCCAATTTTACTTAATGTGTATAGAGATACTAGTTTATAAGTGATTTTCACAAACGTGCCTTTTTCTGAATCTTCCCCTACATTTGACTATAGTTTAAAACCGCTCCATCATATCCTATTGCCTTATTTTTTTATTTAGTCCTCCTCATCTTTCATGTAGACTTTGGGGAAAAGAAATCTCTCGATGATTTTCCTCCCATCATCCTTGTCCATCCTGATCAGTGTTTCACATCAAAGACCAGGGCAAGTGGTCTTTCTAACCTGCACATCTGTCCCTGCTGGCCCACTGCATTAGGAGCTTGTGTGGCCCTCTGTGGCTCACAGGATAAAATACCAGCTCCTTAGCATGGCATTACATTATCTTCCTCGTCTATGGAGCTCATGACTTAGTTTCCTCATCACACTTACCTTTAACCCTACAATGTCTATTTTTGGTATATGCAATTCCTTTTACTTTTCATTAAAAAGAAGCAAACAAGCAACAAGAAATACACTTCTGCTTTGGAGTTTACCACTCTCTCCTCTTTCTCCTCCTTCAGTCATTTACTGATCCCCCGAATTCCTGATGGTTTTTTTTTTCATTTATTGAAAACTTTGAAATCTATCTCCTTCCACTTTGACATTAAAAATTAGTTTTGTTTTACTTATTTTTTAATTCTTTAATTAACTTTATTAGGGTGCCATTGGTGAATAACATTATATAAATTTGGTGAATAACATTATATAAATTTTTAGTGTACAACTTCATAATACATCTGTGTACTCTTTTGTGTGCTCACCACCCAAAGTCTAGTCTCGTTTCATCACCTTGTATTAGACCCCCTTTCATCTCTTCATCTTCCCTTCTCCTCCTTCCCCTCCAGTAAACACCATTCTGCTGTTTGTATCCATGAGTTTGTTTGTTTTATTTTGTTTGTTGCTTTTTGTCTTATATCCCACATAAAAGTGAAATCGTACAGTTCTTATCCTTTCTGTCTGAGTTATTTCACTTAATATTCTCAAGATCCATTCATATTGTCTCAAATGGCAATATTTCATCTTTTATTTATGGCTAAGTAGTATTCCATTGTGTACACACACACACACACACACACACACACACACACACACACACACACACACACCACATTTACTTCATCCAATCATCCATCAAAGGAAGGATTGTTTCCATGTTTTGGCTACTGTAAATAATGCTGCAGTGAACATAGTGGTACATA